TGTGGATAGTTCAGTGGGATTTCTAGTTTTGAACAACACGCGTTCTTGTGCAATTTATTTTTCTATTGTGAATTAGTAAGAACAAAATTTCCTGTTTTTAACCAGCTAATCTCGTGTTAACCGATTAATGCCCCGCAAAAAACCCGACTTTTAATACAAATTCAGTTCGACACCTTTGTCCAATTTGGAGATAGGGAAATGGGCTCATCAAACGCTATGGACAAAGAATCTTGCAATTATCACGTGTAATTCACAAGCATTCATGTCGCTACAAGAAGCGTTGCCGCAGTAACAGCTGGACACGCAAGTTCTACCGGTGAAGCAAACGATCTTGCATCAGCGTTAGTTAACGTATGCCTATTGGCCTATCTAATTAGCAATCTCCTAAGATAAATGTTTCGAGTTTTACGTCCGATGTTAGCGCCTTAGCTAAGCATTGCTTCTGGTGACTGGTACGAAAATTTGTGTAGTTATCTATGGCCGACTTCAATCAGAACCTAAGTTCAGAAGCGTGCAAACGCCTTATTACGACACCATCACCGGGCCAGCATCTTGTGCGGCTCAAAACGGAAGGACTTCAGAACAAATCGGCTTACCTATTTTAGGCGGATAGGCAATATAAAGAAGATTACGACTTCACAGAATGCTCCAAATTCCACTTAAATTATATTCAATTAACATTAATAATTGTTACCAACTTTATATCTTTTCATATACAACAGACGCAGCTGCCACGATCGTGCTGGCAAAAATCTAATAATCAATAAAATAGGAAAGACCGATGCGGGTGCAATTGAACTATTAGACACAATAAACTATAATAGAATCAATAAACTACACTGACAATGGGGTGTAGAAGAGGGAGATAATAAAACGGCTAGATAAGCCAGCCTAGATAATAAAAACCGTTATATTACTATGTATAAAGTGCGATTAAGCGAAAGTGTAACGAGCCTCAACATGACAGCGTCGACTGGTTCACTTCAACTAGCTAAAAAGAGATATCTTATTGTCTTGATAAATTTATGACGGCTGATATTAAACCAGCATTGCGCTCAATTTTTTTATACGGTCGAGTGGTAAGGACAAAGGAAACATTTGTGCCGGCTATACGAAACAGGTCCTACTGTTAAAATGAAATCACCTGTTTTACGTTTATAAAATGTCTTCTTTCTAGTTTCAGTCCGACCGACACTGCGGCTGAAAGACAGCTTGGACTCTCAAAGTTGGCCTATTGACAAACGTCGCCCAGCCAAAACCATTCATTGTGTGCACATCCTAAACTACGGTTCAAAGGTGTTTGCTGCCTGCAAATTTCTTATACAAACGCCTCTCTCACCTCAATGAAACGGACCGATTTGCAACGGATCTTTTACGCGAAATACTGTTGTATCTAATGGTACGGCTTAAACACATTTGCAAAAGACATTTATCGACAAATGTACACGTCTTCATCTTGAATTACGTAAGCGCTGTGGAAAGATCTTTGGCGACCTGAGCGATCTTGAAACTCGCTGACCAACCTCCCACGAGGGCTTACCTACATAGTTCTGTTTTGCTTAGTTTGCTTGACTGATTAATTTCAAGCTGAATCTATTCCTTGTACACTGATATCCCGTCATTTGAGCTTTGGCCGGATACAGCTGTAGTGATTAGAGAGGTTACCAGGCTCTTCTGGGGATGCCGAAAAGGGTTCTTCCTGGAGCAGTTGTCTGTCCATAGGTGGCCTTGTTAACGTCGGTGTTAGCGGCCGCTACCCCCTATTAACAGTCTGTTTTTCAACAGGGAGCACCTGTTTGTGTCACAGTGAGTTCGAACAGCAATGCCTTCTCAGAAAGTAAATAAACCTACGTAGTCAACAAATCATACCAAGGATCCCTGCTCTGCTGAGAAAACGTACTTCTTTGTCTTCAGCTCATGTCGTCTTCGTCCTTTTCTCTCAGTCTCCAATTGTCCTATTTATATATATAGCTTCTTGGAATAGGCTCCTCAGTACAGCAACAAACACCCGTTCCACTAGAAGAGGTCTAACCGGAGTGGGCCTTGCTGGACCTATCTGGCCAACGTTCTCCGAAAGTCCTGTACAACGGCACGCTAACGATGCAAGCAGCTTTCCAGAGTAGTTATTAGCACTATTGTTCCCTTATATTTCATAATCTTTCATACCGATAATTCAATTGACGCTGAGAATTAAACCAACGGTAATCACGATACGCATTGAGACAGATACACATTTACCATCCAAACAACGCTACCCCTTGTATCTGTTTATGCGGCCGTTCATCACCTAGCAGTTTTCATTTTAGCTCCATCAACACATAGACACAAACCAAGGACAAATAAGGATGTTTAGCATGGCAAAAGGTTCCCTTGAAGTAGCATAGGTGGAAGCGCTTTTTAATCGCTTTTACATTCTGATATTGATTGTTTACGTCTTTACAATTACAATTACAAAAGAAAAAAACTTATTCTCACAACGCGTTTGTGGTCAAATCCAATTATCAATTACTTTAGCTAGATGTAAATAATTTTCAATTCGATCTAAGCTGATGTTAATAATAAAACTCGAAAAAAATGTCAGTATGTCCCCGACACAGCGCCACACATTACCCGTACATGACCCTATCAGGTGCCTAACAGCTATTTCAGCACCCGGCAACAAACGTTTACCTATCTTTCACTTGACTTAATGGTTATCACATTCAGACAATGTTCGGCTGGTAGTTAGCAAAATTTCAATAATAATCAGACTGCATGCTAAAGCCCTTCCATTATGCCCTGCATTAGACGAGAGTTCGTTTACATTTTAAGGATACATATTAGTAATTTTGGCGCAGGGGGTTCTGAATCAAATAGAGAAAAAAATGCACAGAGAAAGAAACAGTCAAATAATCCATTTAACGTTTGCGGATCAATTCAACTAGTTCTGACGCCCGCCATGGTAAAAATCCAATTTGATTGCAATGATCAGAAGTCAACTCAAAGAAGCGTTATTGAGAAGCGGATTCGTACCATTTTTATTGTAAATTACTGACAATGCTAATATTGCGAGCTGAATTATGTAAGATTTTAAATGCAATGAAGATTGCCGACTCGTTATTTGCCTTCACCTTAGGATGAATTTCCTTGAACCTTGAACAGACTTTGAAAGACGTCTGTGATCTTGAAACACAGGAACATATTTCATAATACAGGCGATACAGCGTCGGCTGAACTGAAAGCTCTACAAACGAAATGCAAAATACAATACTCTGACAATGGATGAATAGCAACTTTTTGTCGTGAACAGTTCGTTAAAACAAAGTCGGTTCTTCCTCTATTTCGTTTTATAGATGATTAGATGACCTGTTCTGCACTTCGAAGAGTTGGACTATATGTAATATCAATTTCATATTATTGACATCATCTCTAGAACTCATAAAAGCAGTATTTCAACTCGCTTTCGAAATGTGCTAATTATATAAAAAAAAAAAAGAAAAAAAAAAGTAAAGGTTGAAAGGAGTTGTTTTGGTGACGTTTTCTCCTTAAAAAGGTGATCCTATAGGTCCTTTGTTGAGCTTTTTTTGCAAGACAATATAAGCTCGCGCACAAGACATGTCCTTTGCTTATTGTAGTCCTGATGTTCGCTAACCACAAAATAGGCCCAGAATTTCAATCTTGTGCGTTCGCGGGCCGGTGTAAATAAATAGCAAATACTCCAAAAAAGATTTTACACATTTATGTTGGATATTAAGAGGTAAATCTCAGGCACGTAATCATTGGTGTTTTAAAGCCACATTGGAGCTACCAAACTAGTTGGGTCATTTAACAACTGCAATAGCTTAATTTTCCTGCATTTATTGAGCTAGGTGTTATGAAGCAACATTCAACGGTTTATGCTCAAAGGTTTTTTTAACCAAACCTTTCTGTCTCTCTAATTGGCTTTGAGTAAGAGCGGTTGTTGGTCGCAATCAAATGAAAACCTGAAGAGCTTAGCCTGGATAAAACATGCTCCCAAATCTGCGTTTATTGATATATCTTCATAGGCGATAATAATTGGCAGAAGATCACACCTTCGTTATGAAAGCTGGCACGCAAAGTAGGCTTTGAATTATCCCCAATGAAACCTAAAATATCGAAGTTCCATCCGTTCCACTTGTTCAGTTTTAAAATAATATAATTGAAAAAGGCATATATATATATATATATATATATATATTTGCCTTTTTCAAATCTCGTAATGGGAATGCAATGTGTTTTAATGCCACCAAAGGAACACTTCATTTCCATGATTTTTAATTTGGGCTAATTTTTGGAAATCTGAGTAATTATTATGAAATCATTTTGAAACTAGGTATTTTCTCTGAACTCTAAGAATTGAATTCTAGTTTTTTTTTTTAAGAAACGGTTGGCAGTTTTCAAAACATACAACATGAAGACAGCTTACTTTGTCAGCACATTTTTTGGTAAACTGCAGAAATAATGAAACAATAACAACAAAGTTTTAGAAAGCTTCAACATGAAGAATGCGATAATCACAATAAAATAAATCACTGGATAATTTAACGGGTCCATGAGAAACTGATCGCAATTTAGAGTACAGGGGGTAAAGGGTCGATGAAATAGGTTGATCCTATAGCATAATGAATACTGCGCGGTACGAATCCGCAACTAGTCCAAATGTAACTAACCATATACAAACGACGGACATCCGATCATAGAACCAACAATATATTTTTTCTGATTGTGGAAATAGAAAGGCTACGCAGAAAAGCCGCGAATTGAACACAGCTGTCTATGTGATGAATGAAGGAAAGAGAATGTGGTCGTCAAATCTTCGAGACCCTTTATTTACATTTAACTGCAGACGACACTTGATGGCCTAGCGCCATTTTGGGGTTCGACACCCTTGTGCTTGTCAATAGATAAATATTTTGCATCCTGGAGGCGTTTAGAGGTCGTATAAAAATATCCTCCATTACTTCGGTCTGTATTATCAGTTACATTTATAATGAAGTATTTTGATGTTTTTAGTTTTTTTTTTCTTTTTACCATTCTGCTTAGCTTGACGTGTATCTCATGCGCCTAGTTTCTTGAAAAATTAATTCTGATTTGCTTTATTTTGCTTACTGAATATTTTAGTGGGTTATAAATGAATTACTTGCTGAAAAAGTAATACGTTGCGTGGACGATTCGCTCGGTCTACCACTTAAAAGATCACTTTTATGTACTTCACATTCGTTCTACCTCTCATGTCAGATTGCCTCGATGTGCAGCCTATATGTACACATCGAGTTATAAGAACCACACTCTGTTTGGGCATTTCAAGGCTGTTTTTGTGGTCCTTGTAAGGAACTTACTTGCCCTTTTTGTAACTGTTCCTTTTCCTGTAAAAAAATGTCTTCGCCAATTTATATTTTCAGAAGATCTAAACCATAAAAATTGTGTACAGCAAACGTTACCCTACGATTAGGGACTGGTAAGTCTGAATGGCAACAAAATGTTTCGAATCAGCCTGGAAATACAGAGAAGATATTGTGATGGTCGCGCAACTGAATTTCAGCTGTATGTTATTGTTACTGCGGAAAGCTTAACCATCAAGTGACATGAGGCGAACAGATAGGTAACTCGATGGACATTCGATGTTTACTGGCTTCGAGGGAAGTAAATGTATAAATGCAATGTTTTTGTTCCAGTTCACTTGTAGCCCATCAAGGACGAAATTTTAGACTGCGACTAAAATGTTTACTGGTGTCTACACACAGAACTACGGGCACCAGTGCTACAACATAGTTACAGACAGGAACAAAGCACGCGGCCTATGGATACAATCAGGAAATAACAATCTTGGTAAAGAACACATTTGATGTTCACCCCCCGGAGTTGTTATTATTTGTTCTAGACAATTGTACAACTGTTATAAGTTGTTTTGTGTCTCTAATTAACTGTACAGATCGTTCAGTAATCATTTAGATTTCAGTAGGTTCTGCAATGAATTTTTTTTCATTGTGTATTTTTCCGCTTCTAATTCACAGCTCACAAATCCCATTGATCAAATGATACGACTGTGGAAGCCAGCGTCTACAATACGTGGCAGTTGTGCCCCTCGTCTATCTGACTGTTCGTCGCTGGTTGTATTTAATGGACTGTTTCAAACCAGTGGATATGGGCAGATACGAGCTCAAAGCACGGATCCATTACGTGCGACGTCCACTGCCTCAGAATGGTTCGTGCTAAATCCACGTCTTGAACAAAAGATCAATTACATAACGAAGCTATATGAAGATTTTATTGGCCTCACTGAGGTCAAAGCTGCGCAAGCCAAGGTTAGTACAAAACTTAAGATGCAAAAACTACTGGCCGTTGACGCGCTGACTCATGACAGTTCCGTGAAGTGCTATCTTCGGTATGGCAACATTCGCTCACTGAAAATCACTGAGAACTGAGGATACAACCAAAAATAATACTTATATTTTTATGATGGCCTATATTGAAATTAGGTGAAAGGCAGTTATTCCAAGGGAAATCGTTTAATAACGATTAAGATTAAAACCACGCCTGAATGGTCTCATATTTTTAAGTGATGCTTATTGTAAGCACTACGCACGTAAAGTAAACATAAAACAAGTTATCCTTCTGCATATTAGCACATTTCGGATGACCCTTTTAGACAGCTATCAAAACAAATTTATGATAATTTATACTTCAAACAAGCACGTATTATACGAATCATCAACGATATAACGTGTTCTACTCTAACTAAGAAAGTATAGGACATTCTGCTCGCAGGTAATATCAGCAGAGTCGGAATTCAAAATAGCTCAGAATACTCGTACCACAAAACAACAATGCATGATGGAGCTGCAACGTCATTTAAGAGAAATTCATGCTGAATTAGATAAAACCGTCCGCGGAGAAGACCGGCACCTGCAGCTCGTCACGAAAGTGAGTATAAGCGATGATGCTCAATCGAAATATTCATGAGTCTTAACTCATTTGTTGCATTACAGAACCTGCCCTTTTGAGTAATGGGTCCTCTATATTATAGCAAACCGAGACAGAAAGGCAACCTGGTCAAGATCAAATGAGTGGTCCCATGCTGTCATAGCGTCCCTATGAAAAATATCTAGTTTCTATTATATATATAATTTATAAAAAACTAACGCAATGAACAGTGTAGCTTTTAACGTGAAACAAACTTAGTTAACAACACATATATCTAATAACAGAACAGGCACCGCACTAAAGCTCTAATCAATCTTACGTTCTATCCGTGCAATCAGTGTAGTTCTTTATCCGTGCGTTTCTCTGTCCTTGTTTCTTCAACAACTTGCTCACCTTCAGGAACACGCCATTCTCAAGGAGGAGCGCCTTCTAGTAAGCGAACTGCGAGCGACAGAAAAACGCGAACACGAGCTGTTCTCATTGCTTTCGTTTGCACTAAGAGAGTCCCACGAAAAGGAGCGCGCCCAGGCTGAAAAAACCAAATATTGGTCCATTATTGGCTCGGTCGTTGGAACTATTATCGGTATGCTTGCCGTCCTAGTACATGAGCGTACTGGTTGTCTTCACGCTACCGCTGTTTTGAAATATATTTATAACTTATTTATTATCATTAATAACAGTAATATAATCATTAATATATAAAGTAGCAACTCTTGAGCTGCTCAATTGCAAAAACATGGCGCGCACAGACTTATCTTCTAATTCATTGATTTTTTGTGCTGCGTTTTCTGTTCAGGAATCGTTGCTAGTACCATCAACAACCAATATCGTCTGCACCAGTTAAGGAAGCTTGTTATAGACGCAACGTCTGAAACAGCCAAATGCCGTGACCTTATCATGCAGGTATTCCACATGTCTCCTAAGCGGCCACAATCGGACTGTCTTTCCCATACATGGGCGTGTACGGAGACTTATTAAGCTTCATTTCTACATCATGACGCCATTATAAAGATATCGTTAGTTGGATTGGCTTCGACGATAGCCCAAGTAGCGATCTTCAACCAGCCTCGAATTTTACGTCCAGTGTAGCCGTTAGACAATCTATCTGTCAGGTGGCTGGCTCCCAACCATTACGAAACGAACTGTCTGCCTATGGCCAGGTTTGAACCTGGGCCACAACGTGTCCTTAAGATTAGCAGGCAAGCATGTTACCCACTGAGCTACCACGGGGATATCTTTAACGGGCGTAATGCTTCTTAAGTTTCAGCTTCGGTGGAAGACACTGAAATTTCATACAAAATAAAACACTATAGACCTGAAATTTGATAAATGTAAAAATTATACCGACTTTTGATGTCATTCTAGTAATGTAGTTCTCTAGTGAATGTATGTCTCTTGCCCGGTGCCGCGGTTGTCTAATACCTCGTATCGTTTTTTTCGAAATATGCGTTATCGATTTTCAGATTCAGGAAGGACTTAACAAGCAGAACGCACTCCTAAAAAAAAGTGCGTTGTTGAGTACACACTCCGTTTCGGCTGCTACTACTAATAACTCTTCTATAAAAAACGGAGCTAATAGAATCTTAGCGAAAAGTAATGACGAAACACTACAAAACGATACAAATGTTAGCGGGTCAATCGATAAGTTTCACGAGCGGACTGTACATCCTGAGAACGTCATTTGGCAAACCCCACTTGTTAAGACAGCCTTGATATCTGCTACGCTTGTAATGGTTCCACTCGTTGGCTGGATGCTGACTAGATAGATATCAGAGAGAAATTACACTTCGCACAAACCTTTTTTCATATATATATATATATAGTACTGTATAGATTATTGAAAATGTATGTATCTGCTTATAAATTATCCAACAAATTTTTGAAAAGATCAGCACGTTTATAACTTACTTATTATCATATCACGACTTCATTTGTAATTAAGAAGTTTCAGCCCAGAACAGGGGGAGCAATGTTAAAGCAAATGTTGGAGTTACTTTGTATTATACACCAATAAACACTAAAAGGCTTCTCTAATCGAACCGAATTAACTAAACCTAAACAAACTTGGATGTGGCCTCGATAACACTTGACGACCATACTTTGATTCAGTAACTTAGGCTTTTGTTTAAAGTTACCTCAAGTGTTGCCTAGTTATTTATGCATGCGCTGACCTACTCCGATTTCCACTTTTAGATTAGCCACCGAAGCGGAAACTGTGAAGTCGATATACTTGAATTAATTACCATGTTCCCAAAACAGGATAGTCTTGCAGGGCGAATTACATGCATCCTACAACGTGGTGATTTAGAAACTATCCAAAATCGAGAATTCTTTTTGAGGGAGGGGGATTTGATCCTAGAATTAAAGTAATGGCGGTTATTTTACACTAGCACTAGTTCAGACGATAAAATGCATCTAGCCTTTCGGATCAATGAAAAACGTATCAGATTGGTTTTCATCATATGTCTTATACAGGTATAGTAATAACAAAGAATTAAGATTTGATGCATGCCCCGATTGCTGAGAGAGACGAGGTGTGAACAAATCTAGCGCTAGCAATGCAGCTCTAGTAGAAAAAAGCGACGCATCAACATTCTTAACTTAAACTGAATATTGTGTTAAATTTTCGTATTTCGTAAATGTTTTTATACACCAAGACGGATTGAAGTTGACATTCTTGCTAGCAATAAATTTGACGATGCCGGATTTGTCAATTACATAAGCAGTTTTTGTTATTCATGGAAGTAGTTAAGTTGAATGGCGGAATTTAGATGATGAGTAACCATCTCATGCTATGCAAATACCTCTTCAACCCGAACCTAAGAATTACAGTCTGTGATGCGCGACTGGTGCACGCTTCCATCAAAGTTCTGAATACGTTAGGATAAAGGGACTGTTAACGGCCGCAGAGAAACTGGCTGGTTAGGCTAAACTTATGAGCAACGATGAGGCCACTATCAATTTAGGCAATAACTCGACGGAGTCGTGATGAGATTTTGTATTTTTTACATTTAGGAAAAATATGACCGAAATTGTTGACTTCAAAGCGTCATATTAATAAATGTGTTGTCCAGCAAGTTATTCTGAATAGCTTAATAAGTTAAGACTTTTGGGCTCACTATTTACTACTCTTTCATTTATATCCAAGCCTTTCATACTGCTGCAAGAAATGAACCTAGTAACGACGGCTTCTGCGAATTAAACTCATTAACTTTAGGAACCCATCAGCAACAAAGAAACCTTCTGAAAAAGAAAATTTAGGTGAAAGTTGTTTAGCGTATTGAAGTTTCTCAACACTTCGGAAAGCGTGTATCTCTCAAAAAATATCATAAGTCTTTTTAAGGCTCATCTCTGGCTTTGCAACCGAAGTGGGCGAGTCACGTCTTCTTTGTTAGACTTCACTCAGATTTAAATTGTATGGCTTTTATAAAAGCTGGGCTGGTTTTTTGCTGAACTGAAGGTAACTCCACAACATTGCGAGTAATACGTTTCTAGCATGATTTCCATGAGCCAAATTACTCTAGCCCTAAGTCAAAAGATAAACAGATTAGCATTAAAAAAGAACACTTTCTTTAGCCACAAAAATAATAATTCCTTTTTATCAATGAATCTTTAAAAAATACAAAAACGACCTATTATCTTTGAAGTCAAAGCAGGTTTGGCTCACGATAGGTGGCGCTGTCTACTAGTCACCCTCCGGTTTTACCTAATCTGAGCCGCTAAAGACGCAATTACCTAGTAATGATCGAGCAGAACTCGTCAAAATTGTGAATTATACCACCCCAGGAGGAATTGGCGTTCGATAACCTGAACAATTGCCAGATTGTAAACCTCCTACTAAGGTCCGGTTGATTTTAATCGAGTACGATCAACTATTACATGAGAAATTCGGGTAAATTTGTGGTAAAATGGAAAAAAACAACTAATTTATACAATATTGGCGCCCTAGTGCTAGTTTAAATCAAACTGCTGACTTATTCATCTAAGTTTCATAGCATATCATTATTATAGTAATTGCATTAGAGTGCGTTTCAATAACGACGGCTGTTTATATATGATCTCAATTCAAAACTATTACAGGCTATCTTTTTTTTAAATAATTATTTAGAATCCATGCATATTTATTCGTTATTATTTTTCTTGCCTACCTGGCTTTTATTTTCGGATTTGAATCTAGAATGACATTGATTTATCTTCCTGCTTCGATTAACCGAAAAACTGCATCGTATGCATCTCGGCATTATACATGGCCCCACTAACTATAGTGCACCTTAGTGCTAAATAGCGCCTCTAGTAGACGCATTTAAAGCTACTCTGGGTACCTAATATTAAGGGTATGTCCGGAGTCAGCTTTTTCCAATTCAGCAACCAATAGTAGCACTGGATATAAAAAAGCCTTATTTTCTCTTTTTGTTTTTTTAGTTTGGGTTAGAATTAACTGTATGTCGTTCATGTGGCAAGTATAAATTCAAATAAAACACAATAAATGTAGTCAGCTGTGCTTTTTTTGTACCCTGAGTATTCCTATCTTATTCCTCGTTTTGGTTTGGGTTTTTCTGTTTCAACAAATGTTGTAGTCAATTCATCCCTGGGATTGTTTAAACGCAGGTTAAAATATTTGGAAACGCTACTATACGTTAGAATACGATGTATAGGCGATAGGGAAGATTAAGCCAAGGCTGGTGTTACAATAGTGCCAAAATCCTAGTTATAAATGTGATCAGGAAAATAATGTTTCTATTAAGAGTATACCAATCTTCAAGTTTTGAACATAATAGAGCGCCTTTTAGAATGATTGTGTCATCCTGCTTGTATCACTGAGATCTATCATTGACAGCCGTTAAAGGTAAGGCAAAAACTTGCTTGGCGGCAGTAAAGAGATCAAATAGTTTCGTAGAAAGAAAAATCGTATAAATGCTAACTTTAAGAATTAATTTATCAAAAAACCTTTGCGGCACATCTGACAGGCAAACATATGCGTTTTGAAGATAGTATATCTATTACGATATATCCATTAATAAAACTATGCACAAGATTCAGCTGTCGTATATATAATAGAGTATAGAGCAATTAAAAAACCCATAAAGGTTTTTCCATATTTTCTTATTTTCCATATATATATATATATTTTTTTTTCCTTTTAATTTTAAAGACTGAACCTGTAATCTCTGGTCAGTGAATCAGTAATTTTTGTCCAATTGTGTTCGAATAAAAAAAGTCAATAAAAGTCCTATAGTTTCATTTTGGGCACCCTAATAAAACAACGAATGTCTGCTTTCACTATAAAATCTGCTCTTTGTTCATCATTTGCATACCATGCTTCTATGCTGGGCAGTTTTCTTCATTTTTTTAATCAAGTTTTCTTTAAATTATCAATAAACTCCAAAAATACCTAAGCTATAAAACATTTTCAAAAACTTTTCCGAGTTATGGAATTTTTTTTATTTTTCTCATACAAATGGTTAAAAATTGCCTTGTTTTATGTTAATATTTTATGTGTGTTTATTATGAACATCAAGTTATAAACATGATTCATCTTTATTAAAATCCACTTCAATATCCCTCGTTCTCAGGTTTTCGTTAAGTATAGATAAGGCTATTGAGTACAGCCACGGCTGAAGTTCCAAGAAGAAATACATTTTTAGATAATTCTAGTAAAGCATTGGCCATTCTCCTCCCTTTAATAAGGCGGGAAAGTATTATCTGCGAAAAAAAAAATGTCACACTATTATTTAGAGTTAGGCTATCTATCAGCAGGGTTGGATTTCAGATCCTGCTCTCAGAGAAAACATAAAAAAGGTCTGAGCTGTGCTGTTGCTTTTTCCCTCCTTCTTCCATTTAGTCTGTCTTTCACCCTACTTATTCGCTCACTCAATCTCTCCAGACAAGTTTCGTGAGTTTGTTTTTTACCGTTAGGCTGGGAGCGTATAATTACAATTACGCAATTATCAACATGCAATTGCTGCATATTTATGATTTTTTTCGCCCTTATGTCAGCTAAACATGTTATGAATAAATGATTTTAATCAAGTTAATATCACGACACCTTTGTCAATGTTTTAGTTCCATGCAATGGATTGCATATTGAACGCTTGGTCGATGCATACTGGCGGTGCTGTTTACTCTCACTGCTCTGAAGTATTAATAAAGCTTCTCTTCCTCCATGTCCGCATCTAACGCTCTATCTATGCTCAGCCACATCTTCCCTTCATTGGGAGCATCAAATGCCATCAAGATTCACACATACATAGTAACAGTGTTCCGGCACACGCAAGCAGTCTGACTTCAGGTTCCTCTATGCGCCTAAGCAGTCATCGACGTACGGATACGCAGATAGATTCAGACGGCCCGAAAACGTCAATAGTACGACGACTACTTCGCTCACGAAGAAGAACAACGGGGAGCAGCCACTAGTGATTACAATTGTATATGGTGTGAGTTTATATATGTGGCGCCATTCGCCGCCAGATGCTCCGTGGCTGTCATCCCATTGACACGGCGCTCTTTCCCGCTGAACACGGACTGCTTCTGCGCTGTCCACAGAAAAATTCCCGGTTGAAGGGAAAGTCAGAAACGGGCTGACACCGAATCGCGAGTCGCATAGGACCCAGTGGTTGAACGGAGCCGGGGACCCCATCACGCTGATCACTTGTCTGGGCACCGTTCCGAGTAATGTAATAGAGGTCAACTGAAACTGCTTAATCGAAATGTACCTCTAGAAGCAAACTAGCCTGATAAAATTAGAGGATGAATTCTCCGAAGTCAAGCTGTTACGTTGATTCGAGAAGATATCTGAGCACGAGGTGTGGACAGAGTTCCAAGATAGCTCTTTACTTCCAGTAGGACTATATGTCATATGTGCATACTGTATAAACACTGGCATAACGACTGATATTTCCTTTGGAAATCAAAAATAAATGTTTGCCTATTTGTGTTGTCTAGTAGAGCAGCTAACGTGTACATTTTGATTATACGTTGCTCTCGTAGTCAGGAAACGACAAGATAGTCGACAAACAGTGGCCAATCACAACGGCGAAGCTAAGGAGATATGTTCTCATAAGGTGTATAGCGTAACGTACACTTGCGATAAGAACGAACTCTCATTGCTCGCTAATCTTGATGTTCAGCCTTGATAAGTAAATTTCATTAGATCATCTTTGAGTTTCAACAAAAATGGTACGTGATAGCAACGACAGAGACGCCAACGGCCCACTTCGCTGCGATATTGCTCAGGCGAAAAATTTCATATGTGCCTATAGCAAGTGACAAGATCAACGGTAACGTGTGTTGGGCGACGTGATGTTGAAGTTCGTGCTAAAGTGTTGAAGTGTGATACGTGTATGTGTTAGTAATCGACCTGAGTGATTGATTCCGCAGTGCCAAAGGAAAGAAGTACGAATACTTCGACGAAAATCTTAAGCGTATTCATGTGTTCAACATTCAGTAAGTACTTAGTCGACATTTGAAGTAAATGCTGGGAAAAAATCACTCGTGGCTCAGCTAGTCGTCTAACTTACAGCCATAGCGGTCTATATCCCAATTTGCATAGATACGTATTTAGATTCCGTACAGAATCTTTGTTCCCGGTTGGGAGCTATGTGGTCAAATATGTGATGCAATATATTTAAAAATGTCTTTGCCAGTTAGTTGAGATGGGTTCGACCAACATAGGAGAGTTTTATTAGTATATATATGTAAGGAAGGAAATATGTAATTATTTTGGCCTAGTAACAGGTGAAACTTTCTTACTATTTCGTTTGTTGATGCATGAAAAAAAAGTTAAAATTAAAACAATGTTTCTAAAAAAATTCTAACAGTTACAACAATATGGAGCGCAACTGTACATTTAAGTAACAGCTTTCTGGGCGACACTTCTCTCAGGAGGCAAGCATAGCTTCAGTGTAACTGCAAAGATGGGGTTTGTACGTGAGCCTTTTAACAGCAAACAATCTGAGTCGAAGTAGAACACTAATTGATACATATTGTTATTGCATCTAATCGGATATTGCTGTCGGTGGACCATGTTTCTTATTCTATTTGTGCATACGATTATTCTGTTTTAGCTGATTAAATTCTTTTCGACTGATGGCTTGGACAACTTGTCTTTATAGGTCTTCTTTAACAAAGCGAGTCAGTAAAATACATGACTTTGGTAGTTTTCCTTCATCGTTACACCTACGCTGTCTCATCGTGACGATTAACGTGGCACCGTTGAAATATGCGACGTATAACATACAAGGTTATAAGATTTCAATATCGCAAACATACACGGACAAGCTGAATGTTTCAGTTGAAACGTATAGAAGATGCTCCTGGCTATAAACAAAGAACGGAGATGGGTCGTATACTATGCCAAAACTAAATGAGAACAACGTAACAGGAGAGATAGATATAAGCTACCTGCATAAACGGGATAGAAAATATAGTGGCCTAGATAAGTGCAATGCGGTGTAGTGGAAGCTGTTTACCTGATTTACAAGCTTTGAATGCGATACGTAAGACACAGGATGATGACAAGGAGAAAAAACTGCCTATAACACAGCATTTTTCTAGCTTTATCGAATATAAGTAAATGGTGCACCATACCTGCGTACGATCACAGCGAGCTCATACATTCTAAATGAATCAGCAGATATAATCAGTTCAATTTAATCTTTGAGTTCTGGCGTTCAAACTTCTTATGTTTTAATAAATGTTTATTTTCGATTAGGGAAAATTACGGGACTGATACATTGTTATATCTACAGATTACAGTGTTCGAGATGCTGGATGTTTACACGTTTCCTTAAGGTAGCATTGTGAATGGATTTTAGTTGATTAGGCCAAACACATACTTGCAAACAGCTTACTGTTACGTTCTAAGTGTAGCAAAGTTTTTCTCGCTGACTTTTTCTATGGGAATCATCGCAAAAATATTTCCCAATATCCGTTGTCGGTTTTATAAGCTTTAAGTGGCAAGCCCCGATAACGCATTTTGTTGGAGGTATCAGATTCGCATACATTACACATATATATATATATGTAATGTATGCGATGTATATATACATGTAATATATATATATATATATTCCTTCCGAATACACACGGCCGAATCACAGGTTTATTGAGTGAATCGATTTCTCAAGTGGCTATGCGATCAGCTACCCATAATGTGCTTATCTGACTTTAGACTCTATAAATTGAAATAAAACGTGTCAATTGGAATTACTAGTAAATAAAAACGACTCTCAAATGATACATTACGGATTTATAAGTGCAATTTTTATGCTGTACGATTAACTGAGCTATGAAAAATTAAACAGCCTTTAGAATACAGTGAACATATAATGCTTACTTAATCATTTTCTCTGCCATAATTTCAGGTAACAAATCAAATCCAGTCCGCATCGTTTGGACAATAGCCATAGTTTTGGAATTGTAGGTGTGATATAGGTACAAAACGTACGCAACAGATAGCTTTTCACAATGATGGACGAAATGATGCGTCGAAATGGGCCTGGCGGAAATCAGGTGGGCTCAATGAACTCCGTTGGAGGAAGCGATTTTGGCCGCAATGAAGGCGAGCGCCTAAATGAAAGTGAGTTCTTAAAGACTAAAGATTTTAACATCTCTTAATTTTATTAGTAAGAGTAATGTTTATAACGAAACGTCATTAGGAGGCAAATTGTGGCTGACTCCGATACTAGAACTGCTGATATTATTAGTTGGAAAAATGCAGAGTTAATTTTCAATGGCAAACTGAAAGTAAATTAAGTTTTATAAAAGTCATCAGATTGAGTTATAATCAGTCTTAGAACTCTATAGGCTTGCTACATGGATTGCAGCATTCGAACGTATATGAAACCGAATACTCACGGGGTTAATTTTATAGATGAATTCAAAGAACTCAAAGTATAACGCAGTTTAGTAAGAATTCCTACATATGTCAAGTTGAAGTAAGGTATCGTATTTTTGCATACCTAAAAACCTTTCGCTCACCCTTATTGTTATCTAAGCTTAGGATTTTTATGTCATAAATATTTCTATTTTTTATTATGAAATGTTCTATAACTATTTTCTTTATTTATATTACTTGAACGAATTAAAGCTCTATTTATATCTTTGATTATGTATTTCATTTTTAGGATAGCTTTATTTTATTTAAAAAACTTCATAATAAATGTAGAAAATTGAATTTTTAATTTGAATTACAAAAAATGCCATCGCAATATTATTATATTACTAAGAGAATTAGGCAGATGCTTTTAAGTTTAAAATGAATCAGTTTATTGTTAATAGAAGTATCTATTTTTTTTTCATAAAATCAATATTGAAGCTGGTGATATAAGCCACACGATTCACAAGTCGTTGTTGCCATATGTGGGTGTCTTTAAAAAAACGTTTTGACTATATATTGGCATGACGCATCATTCGCAAAACCATCTTGCCGACATATGCATTATATTGTGTACCCTTACGGATGGATCCAAATTCTTAATAAATGCATAATTAAAATACTGATATTGCAGTCAATTTGATTGAAGACGGTGAAAAGATTGTGATTGTTCCTGCTCTTTTCTCAAATCGAAAAGTAAGCAGGAACAGTGAAAACAACAAAACACCGGCTTCACATTGCATCAAATGATGATCATCGACTTTGCAATGAATGGTCATAAAGCATCGTCTCCTGTGGGAGAAAAGCACATTGACTATATGAATGACTAAGTTTTTCGCGCGAAATCATTAGTGGCCCACACAACTCCATTTCTGACGCATATAATTCCTCCTTTTGGGCTTATGTGGATTAACGATTGATATTTTACAGACAATGTAGTGAACTCATTTAAACCACTCAATAAAAGTGTCTTTAAGACAAACGTTCGTCCAATTCTTTACCCCTGTGTGGGGTCGGTTGTATATATATATATGCAAACTACCCGTAGTGTTCCAAGATTCTCTCAATTACGAATATTTTTCTTAACATATAACCGGCAAATACAACTTGTATTTTCATCGGTACACAAATATATGTGTGGATTAGCTCCATAAAATCCTCTGATAAAGTATAATGCATTCCGGTTGTGTTTGCATACTTGACTCAGTCATTTTCAAGCTACAGGTCAACACACTCCATTTTATTTTGCTTTGTGCACTAAATAATACAACTTTTCAGCATTTGGCGGCAGTCTCTCACTGGTAGGACAAAACGGTTCGGTTGATCTAGAGGATTCGGCCCAAGTGGGGCCTGACACGCTGGGCGCCCTCGGGGTGGCTAGCTCTTGTCATTATGAGGACTTCCACACAATTGATTGGCAACGAGATCTCGCGGCAGATCGCCAGCGACATAGGCAAGCTACGATTTACTCTATGCAAAAAAAGAAAGTGAATGATTAAATGCGAATTTATGTGGAGGCGCTACGAGGGCATACAAACAATTCTGGAAAAGATTTTTACTATTGATAGAGTTTACAGACGTTGAATGTAGTCCGAATGGTTTATTTATATCGCAGTATGATGTGTTGTTTTCCATCAATTAACTTCAACTTCATACGGGGACAGTTCTGACACAGAGTTGATGTCTTATCATGAACTGGTAAACTGTCTTTCTTCGAGTTTCTTATTAGATGATAGTATTGATGTTAAAAGAATTTTCAACGAAATAATTACCCTGTTATGATAAGATATTCGACAGATGCTTTAATGTGTGATACTCTCCTATGACTTCTTGTTGTTGATGTTATAGGGTCCTGTCAAAAAAACGTAACTCAGCATGTGGCATGTTATGGTCAGTATTTGATGCCTGCTCCGGTTGGTTATGTGTACTGATAGTTGGCCTCCTTGCTGGATTGATCGCCGGTAAGAGAACACACAGGCACATAGATTGGTTAAAAAAGCTTGACTATTTTGTAGGTAAAAGTGAAACAAATATTTATTTATATTTAAAGAAGCAGCATATTACTTAACTAAGTACGCGCCATTTTGATCGATGACCTCCCCCGCCCCCTTTTTTGGTGATACCATCGAACCGTTACTGTAAACCTTTTGTGATTTCTAAATGGAAATTGTGACAAATAATATTTGCTTTCCTGTACTGAGTCTAATGCCATCAAGGAAGTTTTGCAGAGAGTGAAACACATGGTGCGGCATCCATTCCAGTCCAAGCCCATCCAAGTTGTTGCTGAATAGTCTAGTATTAGCATAATGGGAGGTGACAGCTTTTATGTTCACAAATTCCGTTTGTTTTTTTTTTAATTGCTTATTGTAATTTTGTTAGTTGCCGATAGCAGAAGTACGAAACAATCGTTTTGCCGGGCAACAGAAACCTGTAATACGCAATTCATTTCCAATCCCGCCAAAGATGTAGCGTTACCTCCTTTGGCGTCAGTTTGGGTTTCATCTAGCAGAGATTGTAGAGCACATTTTTTTAGTTTTTTTATTTTGCATATTATTATTGTTCTTTATCTATTTGTCATCACTTATGATTAATTGCTTTCGAAATTACTTGCTTTCGTTGTATTTCTATAGAGCTGGGCAGATGGACATGCGATCGAATAGATTCTTTTGCGTCGCGGGGTACCCCGAAAAATCGAGCTTTTTTTTTGTAGCCAGCTGTCTTCAAATGGTTTAAAACTATTCGTTGGTGGAGATGTTAATACTATGCAATAAAAAAAAATCCCTGTACTGACACGATAGATTCATTTTTGGGCTGCTTTCCTCTATAATGGACCACAAAGGGGACACATTTTTTGGCCTAAGCAGCACTTATGCCTCTCTCATAATAAAATTCCAAATAGAGCGATTTTTTGCAGAGACTTCACTCATAAATTTCATCATTCAAGACGCTCTATCTTGATTTTTAATGAAGGTATTCCAACAATTCCAGTACACCTACTACTTTCAAATCTCAGCCTTTAAATTATATGAACACCAACATACATAACCTGAGATATGTAATTTTACAGCCATCTAGCATAAAAACTTTTTCGACAACCCAATATATATATATATATATATATATATATATATATATATATATATATATATGTAGCGAAATATCTACTTTCAAATGGTCTGCTAAAAGCGTATATTTTCATAGTATTTGCATACAACACACGATGGTCCTGACAATAAAATGTGAATTTTTGCCTTCAACGCGGTTACTCCTTATTCTTTAATTGATTAGGCGTAATCGATATTGGCGCAGCATGGATGAAGGATCTCCGCGAAGGTATTTGTCCACAGGCATTTTGGTTAAATAAAGAACAGTGCTGTTGGGCGTCAAACGAAACTTCATTTGAAGGAGAACAATGCGCACAAGTAAGCAGACAGTTTTTGTGCTCCTTTTTTATGGAATATTAAAAAAATATAGTAGAATATAATAGTGTACTGGTGACGTTGTTGGATAATCCTATAGAGATAGTACCAAAATAAGTTGTACCTCTTATGCGTCAAATACCCAATAATTTTATTTTTGACGACTGCTCTGGATACTTACACTAGGAAAGATTTTTTTATAAGGCCAACAATGTGTTCTCTGTAGTGTAAAAAATTCACTTCCTTCATTCCATATGTAAGGCCTATTTATTATTAGTCACATACAAGATTTCGTCGATGTACTTCAAGACTTTTGAGGTGTCGGCTAAACAACACAGCAAAGTTTGTAAGTTTGCTTTTGGTGGAACTAGCCCCGTCTATAACGCCCGGTCATTTTATTTTGAACCGTTTATGAAGAGTTTAGAATGAAATATATCTGTTTTCCAGAAAATACCATACTAGTTCCAGCACTTACAAGAGCTGGCTTATAGTACTTTTGTTTTTTTAAAGGAATTAGAGGGACATGTAAAGAAGAACATTTGATACAGCAGAAAAAAACGCAAATCGCAAAGCCTAGAAACAGTCTCGAGAATTGAATTAAAACCTTTTTAAGGTATGGAAAATGCGACTTGAGTGTGTTTTGTCTTAAAACGCATGCTTTAAAGGGGGAATAACAATATTGAGCCATTAAGAGACTAGTTGCTATTATTTAGCTTACATTCTAAACCAAACTAATGTAATTTTTGCGATACAAACGTTTTATTTAGTTACGGGACCGTAATAACGAGAAGGATGATCAAATACCAGCCAGGTAATGAATTACTGTTTATGCAACTGAAAGATATATCTATGTTTTTCAGCAAAACGTACTTTTTTACTATTCAACTATTTCAGTGGCGCACTTGGCCGTCAGCAATCTTTACTTATATTGATGTGGAGGGCGGATGGCATTACGTGAGTACTCGAGATTAAAGTAGGCATATAGTTAAATATCTTGTATTTTGAAGCAATGTACCTCTTTAACATAGATAATCGTTCGTATATAAGTAGTACTATTGAAGAACTATAAGGCCTAATTGCGCTATATTCGACACGGTGATAACAAATATGCTTTCTTGTATTATTGTGAGACGGGTCTTAGTCATCTCTTAATTTCACATAATAAAGACATATCCACTACTCATATGGTAAATCCTTTTTGTTTTATTTATTTAAGAGCTTCACGAACTGGCACAATTCATGTTGCTTCACTTTAAATGACTGTATTCTTTATATACAGGGTTCATTTGTATGGCATATTCTGCCTCTGGTTGAAAAAGACCTTAGGTGGCTACTATAGGTTCCGCCAACGACTCAAATTATGCGCTTAACAAAAATGTTTTATGAACTTCAGAAAAAAAAAAGTGTGTGAATCCGCTCCCCATACTGTCACTGTAATGTAGACTATCATCATAAAAACAATGGTTAAGCATTATACTATATGATATTGTTGTTTGTGTCCTATCTTTGAGCAGTTTTTGGCCTGGGTCATTTACGTGTTCTGGTCACTTACGCTGGCGGGCCTCGCGGCACAGCTGGTGAAAACATTTGCGCCGTATGCCTGTGGTTCGGGTATACCCGAAATTAAGACGATACTTTCAGGATTCGTGATTCGAGGTTATCTCGGGAAGTGGACCCTACTTGTAAAATCGGTAAGAAAAAGTTCGATGTCTTGCCACATTAACACGCATTTGCCATGTTTACGGTTGCTAGATTAGAATTACGCATACAATATATATCTATCATTAGGATTCGATTCTCTTAAAGCTGGAAAACAGTATTCACTGCTGTAACATTAAAGTTGTGTATTTCTACTGTATTGATACTACAACATTAAAATTAAATAGAAAGTCGTTTTGCTAATTATCCTAGTAATAACTTAAACTTTTTTAATATAAATTTGGCTTTCGATATTGATAGCGTCTCACACTGGTATCTTTTTTGTCTAATTCGAGGTTGGTCTTGTATTAGCTGTTGGTGCGGGACTTTCGTTGGGAAAAGAAGGTCCTCTCGTACACGTGGCCTGCTGTATAGGCAACATCCTCGCATACGCGTTTCCGAAGGTAAACTTTTAGTTATAAAAGTTTACCATCATATAATAGCACCTTTTCAGTTGGCAGAATTAACTGATTAAGTATGATTATTATTAACAACACGTTAGTCGACTTTGCTTTATCTTACACAGTTCCAATCTCGTTTCTGCAGATCGAAGATAATAAGATCTGTAGTATTACATAGGAAGCCGAACATTTTCAATTTTCGATTAAGGGATGGGCCGATTATACTATATTATACAGAGCGTATTACCTTTATACATAATCATAATTGTCTATATATATCTATACGTAATTTTTATGATTTTTGCAGTATGGGCGTAATGAAGCCAAGAAACGCGAAATTCTCTCGGCAGCAGCCGCTGCTGGAGTTTCAGTGGCTTTTGGAGCGCCAATCGGCGGTGTGCTATTCTCACTGGAAGAGGTTGGTTATTTATTATTATAGAGTTATTCATTTAACACCGTCACTGCCCACACATATCCGTAATGATCCGTGGTGCAGTGCACTAGAAACCCGTGCTATCAACAGAAATGGGATTAGGTCCCACCGCTGTATTGATTATGGGATAATTCCTTTTAGACAGATACACATGAATTACATTCGAAACACCATATATTCGAATTGGTTCTCGCGAGAGATCTAACAGGAAATGGGCCTGCAGTCAAAAAATCGATATTGAAATGTTTTGAAAAAAATAGAATGAACCATTTATATCTATACCATTTTATTCCATAAATGTATTTATGCATTAATCTCGTTTATGTTAGAAACATCACTCCCCTATTTTTCTCTTACAGTAATTTAATACGGTCTTCCCGTATATTTAGGTGTCATACTACTTCCCATTGAAAACCTTATGGAGATCGTTCTTCTGCGCACTTGTCGCGGCCTCGGTACTTCGCAGCATTAATCCGTTCGGAAACGACCATCTTGTCATGTTTTCCGTCAAGGTTAGTATCTATTATACTATATATCTACCAAACTGACGTCATAACAGCACCAGAAACTTTAATTTGGATATGCTTATTTACGCCGATGTAAGTTAAACAAAGTTATCTGAACGCACGAGGCATGAAATGATATCGACCTTATGATCGTTACAGCTTGATCTGAAGCTCTAAAAATTTAATAATAACTGATTGGATTGTTTTCAGCATGATTTTCCCTGGTCGTCTTGGGAGCTATTTCCGTTCCTTGTTCTTGGTATTACAGGTGGAGTTATCGGAACTGTATTTACGAGATTGAATTTACGATGGTGTCGATTCCGCAAGGAGTCTCGACTTGGACACTATCCGATTACAGAAGTGGGTTTGTTATGATCTTCTTCGTACATAAACGCGGATATCAATTTCTCTGAATGAAGGCAAATGGAGGTATAACATCTAGAGAAACATCCAGTGGAGATCGATGTAACAAACTAAATATTCCTAACTTTCACTTTTAGACTTTCTAATGTAAAAATTGAACGTTGTCTTTTTTACATAATTGGCGATTTCAGGTGCTGACTCTGACAGCCGTTACAGCTGTTCTTTCATATCCGAACCCGTATACGCGGATGAACACCTCAGATTTAATTAAGTTGCTATTCGTTGACTGTGGCATCGGAGATGTAACACCTCTGTGGTGAGCTTCTGTGGGCAAGGGAACAATTCTAAATTTTCAACTGTATAAATCAGTATAAATAGTACTCTAGGCTGATTGCATATTTTTTTCTCTTATTGCCTTTTGTATTGAAGTTATATTTTTCGTATCTTGCAAAGCACACACAGTGTACCATTCGAAATTAATGTTAAGTTAGCGCATACTTTGATCAAGATTATTATCTTGTAAAGATTGACTTCGTTGGTTTATCGTAAAGACTGATTCGTAAAGACATCTTTCACTTGACGTTTCCGAACATTTATTCGCACAGCGACTATAAACGAAACTTCACGGATGCGACGGCTCGGATCGATATAGCGGAGGCAGGTCTCGGGGTCTACGAAGCTCTATGGCAGCTTTCGCTTGGCTTCATCTTTAAACTTGTGATAACAGTATTCACGTTTGGCGTCAAAGTGCGTATCACTATTCTTATAGCATGGCTACAGCAATCTGATAACATGAAATTCATGAAAAAATGAAATATATATTCAGTGATTTTGCAGTGACTAGAGAGATAATGCGTTATTGTGGTGTTGATATAGAAGTACTGCAGTCACAGTAATGAGTGTTTTGTCTTTGCTTTGCACCAGGTTCATTTCCGCTAGCACATTACTAATGAACAGAGTGCTTTCCTATTTGACCGTAAACACATCTATTCAGCTAAACACGTAACATCACTCAAGTGTCTCATAACCCTAACAACATATTCATATGTACATTTGTACAGGTTCCAGCCGGTATATTTATTCCGTCATTAGCTCTCGGAGCAATCACTGGCCGGACTATGGGCGTTGTCTTGGAGCAGATCGCGTGGCGTCATCGCACTTCTGAGTTTTTCTCAGCGGCCTGTGCTAGCGGCGAGGGTTGTATCCCACCGGGCCTTTATGCGATGGTCGGAGCGGCCGCATGTTTAGGCGGAGTTACGAGGATGACCGGTAAGCTTGATACGCAAGTTTCATAAGTTATCGAAGACCTGTTTATAAGTGTCAAATCTCTTTAGTTGTTGTCAAATGGGATAATTAATTGAGAAGAAACAGAACTCTATATTGTAAACAATACGTTCAGTATAAGACTATAAAAAGCTTCTATACGATTTCTTAATTGCACTAAAAATAATAATGACAGGGCCGCTTAAGCGACGTCTTATTGGCAATAATAAATATATATACACCATGTGTTGAGTAAATGAAGATGGATTTCTGTTTGGGCATTAATTATTAGCACGTAATTGAAAGCCACACTGAATCCGTACTTGGTTTTGGTTTGCTTCAGTTTCTCTCGTCGTAATCATGTTTGAGCTGACAGGATCCGTAAAATATATTCTTCCATTAATGACGGCAATCATGGCAGCGAAGTGGGTGGCGGATGCGCTAAATAAGGTGAATATGTTATACCTTTTTTTGATTTTCAACAATATTTTATTACTTTATACATCCTTTGAACAGATTATTTTCGATGGTTCACGTAGAGAAATTTGACAAACCCTAGCGCCGTTTACTAGCCGTGAGAGAACTATTAGGCTGACCGGTCGTTACTCCGTCCAGAGTTCAGAGCTATGTCGCCCCTGTGAATCCTAATCACACCGGCTCTTATACCCATGCAGTAATAAATATTATTAATTTAAGAGCATACCCCCGCTCCATCTATTGGAAAACTGATCAATTAAGCCAACTGTAGTTTATTAATCCATTTCCATAAATGTATCGTTACTTCAGGAAGGTATTTACGACGCACATATTGGCCTAAACGATTATCCGTTTCTTGACCTAAAAGAAGAGTTTACTCATACGAGCCTCGCCGGTGAGGTGATGCGACCACGGGCCGGAGATGGACCTCTCCGCACTCTTCCCCAAGAAGGTTTTACGGTAAGACAACTTGTCAACAGCCCTTAGCTTTCACAGTTAGTACTTTTCTGTTGTTTGCGTATTTTTCTGACTGTTATTGGGTATTAATAAGCGTTTCCAATAAGCAGAAAGTGATCGAAGTTACTGGGTAACTTTTTAATACTACACTTTTTTAAAGAGAAAACATTGAATAGATCTCACGCCTACATTCACAATTCATGTTCACTAGGTTGATGAATTGGAGGCATTCCTTCGAGGAAATACGAACAATGGATTTCCGGTTGTTGTTTCACAAGATAATCCAGCTCTGGTGGGATTTGTTAAACGGAAAGACCTAGCTTACTCACTTTGTAAGTATAATTTGACATTGCTACATAACAAAGAAGTCAGCATGTCCTATCTGCACCAATATAGGAATATAAATTCCAATGATATGATAAGAACTTTTCCTATAGCCTATCAACGATACAGATCTAATAATCACATAATAGTGTAATAATGTAGTTAGACGCGAGCGTTTCGCAGTCACAGAAAAATTGTTCCTCTTTATTTGAAAATGTCGAAAATAACAGAATTGGTTATTTTGATCTCTCACCGTGTTAAGCATCTAGCAAGAATGTGCTACAGTTAAGAATGTATAATAGAGATATCGTTGTTTCACCCAATTTATTGCAGCATTATTGACCCCGGCAGATGGCGTTATCAACAAAAGCCCAGTGATCTTTTCGGCGCAGGTTCCATCACCTTGGAATGGGCCAACTCCGCTCAAGCTTAGACGGGTGGGTTTTAGTTACTAAATTAATTCACAATTTTCGTATTTTTTAACAGGAAAAGAAAACTTTTCCAGTGTTCAACAATGAGAAATTACATGTTTATGATGATTTAATGGTTACTGATGTTTAAAAAAGTCCACTGCATCTTTTAAGGATATACATCTCACGTAATTCTTCATGCATACGAATATACTTTCTTCAATTTTCAAGTACATATTTAGTAAGACTAAGAACCTTTGCGGTATCGTTTCAGCTCGTGGACCTGGCTCCGGTTACAGTGACCGAAATGACTCCAATGGAGACTGTGGTAGACATGTTTCGCAAACTGGGACTTCGGCATGTCCTAGTAACAAACCGAGGGTGGGTGCACCTCACATTATCCATGCACGATAGTCTCATTGATAGAAATGCCTGAATTTTGAAAAGACCGGCTGAAAACATTTGATCCGACCTCGGAATTCCTAACGCATCGAGAAGTACTAGCTCGTCTAATGTGCTTCGACTTGGAACTTGACTGCGAATTCAAGTGAATTATATAGAACTGCCACGTTGAGCTTCGGCAATTATAAGCTAAGGATCAATTTATTTTGATTTCCGTTTATCGGTTAACTGTCGACTCATAAGCCTTAGCAATAACTGATCTGTTTGTGTCCACACATTGCAGGGCTCTATTGGGTATCATTACAAAAAAGGACGTGTTACGTCACGTCAATTGTTTGCAGGGCCGTGCACTCACGGAGGATTCACACGTCACCCACGCGACCGCCGAAGCTTAGACATGAGAAAGATGCATTCGGATAGTTTTGATTCGAATCTACCTCAGTTTCATGATAGGGCACTGTACTGTAGCTTTTTTTCATTTTTGCGAATTAATTAGGAGGTATCCTTTATAGCGACGGCGATAAAACAGCAGCAATTGCAGACCATGAGTTCCCTGTAACTTCGCCTCAACCTTTGTCTGTCTGTCTGTCTGACCTTGTAACCGGTAAAAGGGAGAATTTTTAGGGGAATTTAAAACGGTTATATAGCGCTTCTCTGTCAGGTGTGTTGATTTATACAAAGCGTTTGCAACAAAGAAGACTTCTGAAGTTTGAGCAGACGTAACTTTGGACAATTTCAATGACGCGGTTCACGAGATGGGAGATGGCGTATGACGAATCGACGGTGACAGAGACGGTGTTCACATTATAAAATGGCATATATAGATACACAGAGCTAACAAAATGACAACCTATATTGAGAAATATTTTTGTAGGATGATCTCCTCATAACGATTTAACTCATTTAATTACGGTTTTGCAATTTGCTAGTTAGACTTGCCCATGTAGTTAGTTCTAATACTTTCTTTTGTGTTTCTGGCAATGCCACATCTCGGCGACTCTGCCACTCCTGCTTATGTTTTATTATTGTCGCCATTGATTCTCATAAAGAAAACAACCGAAGATGCTACTGCAAACATGCTATTTAGCATTTCGGAAAAATACGGTACAAAATGCGCTTTAAGTTTTATCGCATTGTCTAGCCTAATGCTCGTTTTCATTAGTTTACCGCAGAATGAGGCTCTTGTTAGAATATTTACCGTCTTTACGTTAAAGCCTCTAGATTTAATGTTGTAATTGTTAGAATGAACTCAGTGTTCTACGTTAACACTTTAATGGCTCGTAATGTCACTCAGGGGTTTCCATTCTTAATAATAAGTACATCTTGTAAAGCTAGTCTGTGTTAGTTCAAGCCAAGAAAAGCCGGCGCTAGACTTTTAGGTCAGCGTCATTTTATTTCTATCAACTGAAGTTCTCAAAGGCCAGCGCTAATCTCTATATGTACCTTCTCTTTTCCGGCAAAAATTAACCGGTTTCGACAAGATTAGCTTCTGCTTCGTGTACTGTACTCGCAAATAATCTGATACGACGTTGCATATTGCTAAAGTGCGCATTTTTTATTCGCATTCTTTTATTGAATGTATCATTTAAAACGTACAGCGCGTTTGGTCTAGCAATATTCATTTGGTAGAACGTAAAATCAGCCATACAGTTAAACAAAATAATCATAACAAGGTGTGATATACGATGTAAAAGCACATGACGGAGTTTTTAAGTAAAAATTCCATCCATTACAGCAGAGGTAACGATAGTAAGAAATATGTTCGAGATACATTGAAGGAATCACTCACCCCCGTATTGATACACAGGACCGTACCACCTCAAGGCGACTAAACAGCAATACTATCTATCACATCTTCACTGGTGTGAATCGACTCTGCCACCAGTTCTACGAAGTGAACAGAGCTGACCTGTGCAGTGGGGCAAAGCTATAATCTTTAGAATTTATACACAGTTTAAGAAATAGACGAACTGATGAACACAGATTTGTTCCTACTCCATGGTAAGCCACCGTTATTTTTCAGCCACTCAGCGTACGTGGCTATATGATGTGACGACTATGACTAATGAACTTTGGCAAGGGAACGTAAAACAAAAAAAAAAAAAGAGTTGTCTTTTTTTTTAGTTATAGCAAACACAATTTTCGTAGGTGATAAATAAAACTGTCATCTAATCATTGATGGATTTTACCGCTATAGAAGCTAATGGGCATGTGTGGTGTTTTGTTAATGTGCGGAACGATACACTAGTGCATCTAGCAGACGAGATTTCCTTGCTACCTATAGATTTGTATGCGTGTAAGAATATACGAAACGAGGTGATATTGATGGAGGTCCGTGAAGACGCTTACGTCTCACCATATTATCAAAAAGGACCCCATTATTAACAACATATGGTGGATTTATATAGAGAAACGGACCTGTAGATATGCACGGTGATTTAGGAAAATATAATTCCTATCCAACGATACTATAACGTAATTAATGGTAGGTAGACTTTTGGGCTTCAGACAATACGTACATTTAATGGCGAGAATTATTTAACTTCAGCATCCGGCGGCCTGACTGGGCCGGATAGTACTCAATTAATCATAAACGGAGTTAGTAAAAGGACAATTTTAAACCATTGGTGTCGCATTGTTAGATGCCGATGTTTATCAAATACTCATTGTGTACCGATAAACCTTCAATAAAAACTTCAAAAACAACAACATCAAAAGGACAAAAAACCATATAGCTAATGCGCGCGTTACCACGTGATGATCATGATGAAGATGATGACAGTGTTGACGGTGATTATGTTACTAATTAATATTATCAACCATGATTTACCACGTAACTGTATAGGGAAGAAACGAGAAGTTTATTGTACGTTGTATTTTGCATAAAATAATAAATATCTCTGGCAAAAAAGAGTATATTAGGAAGTAATTAACATTACACAGTGTGATTAGGTTAGGTTAGGACTATTCGATGGCGCAAGTTAGGTATCGAACGAATCGCTATTGCGTAAGGAATACGAAAAACAATGCCTATTTTGTACTTGCTTTTAATCTTGGAGGGTAGCTTGACATTCATTTCACACTGACGAAGATTTCCATCGGGACACAACGTCCTTCTTGACGTTATGTCGCAAGATTAGTTTTTGTTGATGTTTATTGAGCAAAAGGCACCTGGGATAATCGAAGAAGATCGTGACAATTTATTGTCGACCGCCCCCATTAGAAACAGGTACGTCGGACTTCAGCGTTTATTGCAGGTTGATATCAAACCAGATAAATCCTAGGAAAAATTATTTATCCTATTAAAAAAATTAAGTATAATATGTACTTTGTGTTCATTATGGAATTATCGTTAGGTGTGCACAGATATATTAACATTTATGTTTGTCGAATTTGTACGATTTGCAAATATATTATAATAGTATGGGCAATTAACAGCGTTTTACAAAACAGCATGTGTACATATTAAAAATTTGAAGGTGCAAGCAAGCACATAGTGCATATTTGTTGTTTCATATGAGAGATACAACTTTTTTCTATCAATAATAACACAATAAATGCCTGAATTCGGTTATTTTTAAAACTGCGAAAGCCGTTCATGCATTGTTCAGGCCTGACCAACCAGACGTTGTCGTTTATTGCAACCACAAACAGCCGTTAACTGGCCTTGTCGTAAACATTGAACTTTCATAGCAGTGTACTACTGATCCGTCCCTGTCTTCATAAATGCTAGATTACGTCTTCAAGATATGACACAATATTCTATCTAACGGAATGCTTCTCTTCCTAATAATACACTTTTCAAATTTCGTTTACGTATAGTTACGTACAGGATCAATCGGACCATGTTCACTACCTGAATTTGATAAAACTGAGCACTTACGGCATATATTGAATGTAAATCATTACACATGTGTATATATACAAAGCAAGTGAATGATAGATTCAGAAAGCCGCCGATTCGGGCCCACTTCACACATATATACACTTGTCAATGAAAGAAGACATCATTAATAATAAAAGAAAACGGCCGCGATCGGGAGTGTGCTATGATAGACCACCCATAAGCACTATTAACGTCTAAAATTAGAGGCCGACATTAGGAACAGCAAGATATATATTGGCTGAGGTCAATATACTTAGATTCCCTCTCACTTGAATTAATTTTAATCTCCAGTAGGACATGGAGGTTTTCATTAGAGCAGTAGGAATTTTGTAAGTAACTTCCGAACGTTTCTTCAAACAATAATTTTGCCATTTTTAAGAACAACCTACCTGTTGAATGAAAGACTTTTGTGAGGCGTCAGTCATGACCTACTCAAAAGGTCTTACAAGTTCCATGTCGTCTGGTATGTGTGTACCCAGCACTTCAACATCTGATACCCATTCGTCTAGAAACTTGAAACAACATATGCCTCCATCGACGGAATCATCTATAATAATCATGAGCCTTTTTTGTTTCGGTCGTTAGAATAAAATTTTCCGGTAGTTGATTCAAATTCGTGTAAGGCATTTTAATGAGTCCTCCAGCTTCTTTGATTCCCAACGCTTAGAATCCATACCCCGTTTATATAGATAGACACCCGTCGAACATCTTCAGCTGGAACTTGACGGGTTTATTATATCGGCATTGGCGGATGCCCACAAATCGGGCAGAAAAATAGCTCTTATAGTGCTCGCGCTAATAAGGCACTAATAGGTTTTCGAGAAGACAGAGGCAAACTTTAAACCTCAAATTAATTTTCGGGTCATAGCGAAAGCAAATAGGATATTATAAGAATCTTTTCTTTTGTTTAGTCTTTCTAGATAGCTCATATTGAATCCTTCTATCCGGAGAGGTTCTTGGAATATTGCTCGACAGCACTGAGGTCTGTTGTAACAGAAACCGCTTAAGCCAGCAATGTAGAAAACTTGACCACCTTAAGTTGAAAACTTAGTTCTCTGCATCTTTTCGAATCCGTTCTCTAACCTACTGATCCTGCTAACATTTCAGGTGTTTATGATGCATATGTTACAAGCAACCTTTTTCCCGCCAACGCCTGCTTACGTGAACTAAAATAGCTCTATATACTTGGAAAGACAGAGAAACATTAGAATATGTACAGGCTAAGTTAACGCGCTCGAAATACAACCAAAGATACAGAAAAAATCTTAAAATTTTACCAAAAATTTCAGATTTACATCACAGATTTCTCTAGTCCTTTTTAGTCTGTGTCATTTGTGCCAATAAATAATCAGATTCTTTTCAAATAGTGATACTGAAATTAAAGCTTATGCTAGTCATCGCAAGTAACCACAGTTTTTTTTTATGCTAGACTTGAGAATGCCCAACATCAAATGCGAATTTCAAGCGGCAAAGGAACCTATTGTATTTTTTCCCTATTGACCGAATACAAGCCGTGGTCATATGCTCTAATCAGATGTAAATACAACGCTTCGTAGATGTCTCGCACACAGTCAAAGCACAACGTACTGGAGTGTTCTGTATTTTATTGTAAAAAGATACTGGTAGCTTTGCCGACGTTCACCAGCGCCCGGGTTTCAATCGTAGAAGCCGTCAGGTTCGATTTCATCATCTCGGTCCAGGTTACTTCTTATGAAATCTAAAAATCTTAGGATAATATCGTACAGGTCGGCCAACCTATTGGCAACTAATGTCAAAATCTTACGGTCAGCATCTTCTTCTGAGCCTGAAAGTACGTGCACATTTGATACATACATCCATACGGACAACTATATAGAGTAAATGGTGACTTGGCTAGAGTACTGTATTTACAAGCAATTCTCAAACAAGATATCCTCTACGGGTTTGTTCTTCACCAGGTACGCAGTGCTATTTCCAGATTACTTGACTTTTTGATATATTAAACAATGGTAAAAGTACTAACAGTTAGTAGACGAAAATCTACGCAAATATTTCAAAACAATATTGCTATTGAACCAAATATGCGCCATTTCAATCGATGATTTTCCCCTTACACAATCGGCGAACCACCGTAAATCTTCCATGATTTTGGAGCGAAAATTCGTAGCAAATGCTATTCCCTCTCCTCTATAAACTAACTTAACACAATTTTGAAATAGTTCTGCAGAGCCTGAAACGTATCATAGCCTAATGGTGCAAGATTCGAGCTATACGGTGTATGCTTTCAAATTTCTTACCGAAGTCCTCTGTATTTTTTGTCGGGTAACTAACTACCGTCATGATGGGGGACGTTTTTGACATGGTCGGTTCACTAGTGCAGGTCGACTTAGTTCAACGGCTTATGTAATTTTGCTAGTTGTTGACAGAAGAGATCTAAATCAGTTGTTTTTTTCGACTCATAATGCATGATAACTTTTCGATATGTAAAATCACCATTGTTGGCGTCGAGTCGGGCTCCGCCACAGATTGTGGACCACATTTTTTCACACATTATTACTGTATATGATCCTTTTTGGAAAGATGGTTAAGCACTTTAAAACTGACTCGATTTCGTTGCATGGAGATATGATCAGGTAAATGCTTTTACGTCAGTTCGTCACTTAGGCATCGAGCTTCTTTTTCTGTTGCCAGCTTTCGTCAAAAGTGTAAAGCTGTTTTGTGGTAGATGTCTAGTTTTTTGGCAATGATCCTATCCAACTTCAGCACTAATTTCATCAGCTTTTTTCGCATAGGTCGACCATTAAAAAATATCTTCCACATTGACATTTCTAGAACGAAAATTATGGAAAAATCTTTGGCCTGTTGCTTCCAACAACGCATGTTGGCCATGAATGAAATGATTTTATAAGCCTGGGCAGCGTTTGTACCATCCTAATCAAACTGGAAAATAAAACAGATGTTTGTACAAATTTTGCTCATTTTATTCATAACGCTCTAACTTGAGTCTGGGCATT